AGTCTTTGTAAAGGCAATAACTAATCACTGTAAGCAGAGCTGCTGTGGAATAGGCAGAGGAAACGATACCTGCCTGGAAGGAGAGCTGCTGCCTGGTCGGGTGCACAAGCTCCAGAAGGACCCCAGTTCTATTGGATTGGACTGGAATGTCAATATCCATGTAAAGGCTTTCAGAACATGGCAATGAAAACCAGAACCACTACCTTTAGTGTCTACATTAAACCCTTATAACACAACTTAAAACAATATTCAGGGATATAATTTTTAATATGTGGGGTAACAGCATCTAGATCCAAGGAGCGACTGCCATTCTGGGGTCAAGAAGGAATTTTTTCCTAGTTTGTTGCAAAATTGGAAAGGGCTTCAAACTGGATTTTTTGCCTTCTTTTGGATCAACAGCAAAAACAGATGTGAAAAAAGCTGAACTTGATGGACATATGTCTCTTTTCAGCTATGTAAATTGCGTGCTTCTTCTCTGACACACATTAAGCTAGTTAAAGTGTTTTTTTTGTTCTAACCACATGCCTTTAATCAGATACTTCAACATGAAAGTAATTGTTCCATACCACAATTCCTTTATTCTGTGTTCATATCACAATTTTCTGCTTGAAAGTCTCAAACTGCTTCTTCTCTCCAGAGAAGTTCTGCACATTCGATTTTTTTACCATATCTTTCTTTCAAAAGATCTTAGAACGTCCCTAAAATTTTACCATTAGCAGTGGCTTTTAAGACATATAAACACTTTACGACTATCCCTAACGACATTTTTTTATTACCTTAATGTATTATGTATAACATTTTTTGCTGTATATATTTTATTAATATAATCAATGAATTACCTGGCACTCCTGTTGTATAAGGGATTCATGTGGAGTTGATAAGATATTTCAGATGTTTAATGGTCCCAATTATAATTCTGATGAAACCTCGGGGTCACATGTCAAATTCTAAGCAGATTTAACATCGCTTGTAAACTTTTATATGTTGTGTAGTATGCATATCATTGAATCTTCTGATTTATTATCTGCCTATCTTAAAAATACTGTTCCAAGAGGCTCAATCCTTATAGCATATAGTATAAATAAGTAAGATACCAAACATATATGTAAATGTGATTGTCTCACTGACACAGCTTACGGAGTTATTTCCAAAGGTAAAGATGTGGAACCGCACTCAATCCCTTAGTTCTGGGTGCAACCAGATCGGTCACAGTACCAGGCAACCAGTTGAATAACGTAACAATAGCAGAAAAGTCCAGGCACTCCAGAAATCAAATAAATAGGCAATTTATTGAACCCACAGCCAAAGCAACGTTTCGACCAACCTGTTTTTTTTTCAAGCTACCAACACATATCGAATACAATTTATAAGGACATAAGTGATTAACAAATCAATAAAAATAATTAATAGATTTTTATTGATTAATTAATTTGTTAATCACTTACGTCCTTATAAATTGTATTCGATGTGTGTTGTTGGTAGTTTGACAAAGACCAGTTTGGTTGAAACTTTGCTTTGGCTGTGGGTTCAATAAATTGCCTATTTGATTTCTGGAGTGCCTTAACCTTTCTTCTTCTGTTACAGCTTACGAAGTTGACATGTTTCCACCATATGCAAAATGTATACTTTATAACATGATACCTAGTACATGTGTGCATGGGTTTATGTATACTGGCATTTTTACATAATTTGGCCTTACTACAGTGGAGGCTTTACCCTTTGCCACATTTTGCCAAAAAATATTCTGTAAGGCAAAGCAATCCCTATTGTCTTTGGAAATCCCTTTGTCTTGTGATTTTGTCAACAAAATTCAAGCACCAGTTTTATGAGTTTTCATTCATGATTCTATCTTTTAATAGGGCCACGAAAAATCGAACAATACATGTCATCTGTTCTAGTAAATTAAAATATGGAAAATATAAAAAGGAAAAAAGGCAGACACTTCACCTCAATTCTTAGCTATGGTCATCATAAGCAGTAGTTTAAAATGAATTCATTTTTTTATTAATTTTTTTTTTATTAATTTTTTTTTCTTATGATAATTGACATAGTGGCTACTAAGGTTGCTATTTTTATAACATTGTTAATAAATGTTTTTAAAATATTTTTATGTTTTTTTTTTTTGTCTTGTTATGTTTATGGCTTTCTCAATTAGTGTCCTGCAGGAAAATATAATATTAGGACCAGATTGCTTTATACTGCATGAATTCATGCTAAATAAAACTCTCTATCCGCTGAGATCTAAATGCTGCGCTTTTCTGCTAATAATATAAAAGATAATGGTTATGGTAGATAATTCAGCTGTAATTAAAGCCACATCTTTATACCATAGCTGTTCACTGAGCTCCTATGTTGAATCAAAAATGATTTGTTCTAATCCATCAATGTTATCTGAACTGTAATAGCATAGCTTGAACTGATTTAAATTTTTTGATGTTTAACTTAACTGAGGCTGCAATCAGCTCTAACTTACACAGTGGCAGATCCAGGGGGAGCTCTGGGACAAATACTCAACCCGAGAGGTTAAGGGCATTTATACATGACCAACATGTTATGTATATGAAGCTGTGCATCTCCCTCTGTGGTTGTATGTATCTGTGTGTTTGTCTGTATGGTTGTAGGTATCTGCATTTGGTAGGGCTGCCACCTTTCTTGAGAAAATAAATAAATACCAGCCATGCTAAATTTACATAATTATAGATGCGTAACATAACAGGACATGACATTACATGATGTTATGTAACATCAAAGGGAGTGACATAAGAGAAAAACATTGAAGAAGATTAAATCACTAATAAAATGCTTACAATGTGTGTTCTATGTCTGACAATGTAATATGTATGTGTAGCTTTGCATCAGTGTGTATACAGTGCTTGTGTCAGTGCAATGTATATTGTGCCTTAGTGTGTGTGAAGTATTGTCATTGTGTGTATAGCAGAGTCAGTATACTTTGAGTGTGTGTGTTATTGTGTGTATACTTTGCTAAGAGTGTGTATAGCAGGGTGTGCATACTGTGTCTGAGTGGGTGTGTCCATGTGTGTATACTGTGTGTGGAGATGTTTGTCATTATGTGCATACTGTGTCTGTTTTGTATGAATTCTTGCTCAATTGCTCTAACACTTTCCAGTAGCCTAATCAGAGAAAAATAAAGGACTGCATTGCCGGTAATTTTGCAATACAAGCACCAGCCAGAACACTTCTGCTTCCTATCTCTCCACTGGGACACCCGTAGTCCTTTAGCCCCTAGCCGCCGCAGCTTGGCTGGGGTCTCTCTGTTGCTTCCCTCCCTGGAACAAAGTCCTGGGTGCAGCCTCAAGTGATTAAGCTCTCTTGTAAAGAGTATAGCTGGTCCACCCAAACATTAGTCAAGACTGAGTGAAGGGTAAAAAGGAACGGATTTATTCAGGCCAAGTTGCCTGCTTAAATACATGACACCAAGCAGGGGGTCTCCATTCATACATACAGTAACCCTGCCCAAGAGTCTCTGTGTCTGGGAGATAAGTGAGTTTGCCTTTGCTTAAACTAATTATCTCCCAGACACATGAGGTACAAACACCCAAAAACACATATAAAAACTGATATGAACCCCACAAGTCCTAAATAGCCCTTATCTGAGTGCCCATGTTGTTAACATAGCGCTCATATCCATGCAATATATGTGAAATGCCAAAGTTCTGACCAACCACCCACATGGTCCTATGCCCAAAATAGTTCTAGGCAATTTTGGGAGCTTTTGCGGACGAACTATGGTGTGTTCCTCCTGGCTCTCAGAGAGCATTTGTTCCTTACAGTCTCGGGCACCTTCCCTCCAAAAAGCGCTCTCCTGGTGTGTCGGCAAGGGGGTTAAAACACCATACTGAAATCACCGGGAACTGCAAGGTCACATAGCCAAAAAGAGTTCCAGAGTGATTGCGGATAGGTCAGGATAAACGAAGTAGCCAAAGTCAATGGATGCCAGAGGTCAGGATAAACGAATTGTAGCCGAAGTCAGAAGCCGGGGTCAATATGGAATACAAGTTCAGGAGACTAGAAAACAGGAACTGAACACATACGCCAGGATCAAAGACATGATCATGTTCTCAGGGAGAGGCAGATTATATACCCAGCAGATGAATGATCAGATGAATGATTAGCAATGACTATAGAATAACTCCAGCCCCCCCAGCAGGGCCGGACTGGGAATTAAAAGCAGCCCTGGAAAAAAAATATTTACCAGCCCCATAATGCATCGCGCCAGCATAGTGTGCAGATACAGAGTTAGAAAAGATAACTTAAAATTAAAAAGTACTTCAACGTAAAAAGCGCACTCATAGGCTTCAAAATAAACAAAAGTGCAGATTTATTTTAAGCAGATGTGCCTTTGCATGTAATCAATGTTTCAGTCCAACTACCTTGACATATTAAGGAAAGCTTGTTAATGGGACTGAAATGGTGAATGTATGTAGGGCACAACTGAAATTTTTTTATTTTGAAGTCCTGTGGGTGTGCTCTTCACTTTAAATATGTTATTGTGCTGGAGTATGCACCTAGTAACAAGACTGGGCCAATATCTGCTCATTACATATGGTACATATTGATGAAATTTCTCTGTGTATTATGCATTTATAAATGTACATTAATATGTGTAAATATAATAGAGATATAAAACTAATACACACATTAATATACATGTCATATACTAATGGCGGATCCAGAGCCTGAGCCTGAGAGGGGCACTTGTAGATTGTTTAAAGAAATATTCCATGCACAATAACCACTACTCCTCTGTGTAGTGGTTATGGTGCCAGGAGCGTCGGCACCCCCTCCCAGAGTAAGTCGTCAAACCGTTTCAGAACAGTTTGACAACTTACCTGGAGTCTGCTGGGATATGGGGCTGTAGTAGGGTATAGGAGCAGTGGTGCAATGTGTGTGAAAGGTTCAGTGTGTGGGTGGGCAGTGTGTAAATGTGTATGGTGTGTGTGTGTGTGTGGGGGCAGTGTGTGAATGTGTATGGTGTGTGTGTGGGGCAGTGTGTGTATGGGGCTAGAGTTCACTCTCACCACTTCCTGGTGAGAGTGAACTCTAGCCCCATACACACACTGGAGTTCACCCTCGTGAGAGCCGGAGCATTGCCCCAGGCAGTGGCGTACTAAAAAGTAGGCTGAGTCGCCCAGGTGTAATAGCCCAGCCACCCCATCGCAGCCGCCCGAGGCGCTCTGTATAGAGCCTCAAGTGACTGCAGCACCAGCCGGAATGCGTCCATGAGGCGGACCGCGCATGGCGCAGCCTGAGGAGGCTGACAGGAGGGGCGGCTCCTGTCAGCTCCCTCCTTTCTAACCTTCACTAGTCCGGCCGGTACAGAGAGATAAGGGGGGTGAGAAAGAAGGGGAAGTGAGAAGAGAAATGGGGGTGAGAGAGAGATAAGGGGGGTGAGAGAGAAATAAGGGGGGGGGTGAGAGAGAGAAAAGGGGGGGTGGGTGAGAAAGAAAAAGAAGGTGGGTGAGAGAAAATAGGAGCGGGGGTAAGAGAGAAATTAGGAGGGGGGTGAGAAAGAGAAATTGGGAGGAGGAGAAGGAAATTGGAGCGGGAGGAGAGATTGGCATTCATCACATACACACAATGCACCCCTTGCACACAGAAAAACACACAGACACACATACACAAGCAATGCAACCGTTACACACAATGCATCCCTTACACACACAGAAACACACAATGCATTCATTACACACACTCAATGCACCCCTTACACACATTCAATACATCCCATACATACACAGAAACACACCTTGCAGTCCTTACACATACAAACACAATTTCACACAATGCATTCCTTACACACATATCAGGACATCCCTACACACTCCACCCCCTGTGAACAAACTCATTGGTGGAATATGAAGGTGGACCCTGGGACCCAGACCTTGAGCTGTGTAAAGGACCCCCAAAAAATGGAGCTGCTTCCCGTTCTCCCAGAACATTGATTTTTGTGACCACAGTTACAAACTGCCTCCAGAGAGCCTGTTCTACACCAGACCAGTGGAGCCAGACTGCAGCTAAAGCCCATCATCATCCTCATCTGGTTGTAAGTAGGCAATCTAGTATATTATTCGTGGCACTAAGCTCTAATTTACCTCACATTAAAGAAACACTATAGTCCCAGAACCACTTCAGCTTAATGTAGTGGTTCTGGTGTCTATAGCCTGTCCCTGCAGGCCTTTTAATGTAAACACGGCGGCACTGCAGCACTGGCGTTAGTTAACATGGCAAATCATATGGCTGGGGCATTGTGATGTCACATGGGGGGCGGCAAACTTTACTTTTGCCTAGGGTGGCAAAAATCCTTGTACCGGCCCTGGCTGGAGGGGGCTGTGTGAGCTGTGGCCGCACAGTGTCCCATGGTAGTTAGGGTGCCGTGCGGCCAGTTCAGCTCACTCAAGCAAACAGCTGATAAACTGGCCGCACGGAGGAAATGTGTATGTGTGACTGTCTGCCTGTGACTGTGTGTGACTGTCTGCCTGTAACTGAGTGTGTGACTGTCTGTCTGTAACTGAGTGTGTAACTGTGTCTGTAACTGAGTGTGTGACTGTCTGCCTGTAAATATGTGTGTGGGGCTGCAGGGATTTTGTAGAAGGGGGTGGGGGTTTTGTATTGGGACAGGAGTCTTCATAAGGGGGGATAAGCAGGGGATTTGTGGAAGGGGGTTGCGGAGGGTTTGTAGATGGGGCAGTACAGGATTTGTAGAAGGGGCAGGACAGAGGTTTTGTAGGAGGGGCAGGGCAGGACAAGGGTTTTGTAGGAGGGGCTGACAGCGGTTTTGCAAAGTTTACAAATTGTAAAAATAAAAGAAATAAAACCTTTAACATTTTTACAGGTTTTTTTTTTGGGGGGAGGGGGGTGGGGGGGTGCCAAGCTGGGATCACCCAGGTGCCGTCTCTAGAGTGCCCCTGGCCCAGGTCCTCTCTTCCTCCCCCTGCCGACTGGCTGCAGTTGCCTGTGGAGCCAGCGGGGAGGTCGACTTGACAGGGAAGGCCAGAGGCTTGTGATATATACTGCCCCTATGTGTGTCTCTTTATCTCCAGCCCCTCTGTGTGCCTTTTTGTCTCCCCCAGTCACTCTGTATGTTTCTTTCTCCCCCTCACTGCTCCTCTGTGTCAATGTCTCCCTCTCCTTCCCAGTCTCTCTCTTCCCCCTCTGCCTCTTTCTTCCCCTCCCCTTGTGTGTGTCTCTCTCATTTCTCCCTCTTTGTCTCTCTCTTCCCCCTCTGCCTCTTTCACCCCCTTTCCCTGTGTCTCTTCCTCCCCCCTTTCCCTGTGTCTCTCCCTTCTCCCCATCTCTCTCCCTCCCCCCTTTCCCTGTGTCTCTCCCCATCTCTCTCCCTCCCCCCTTTCCCTGTGTCTCTCCCCATCTCTCTCCCCCTCATTTCCCTGTGTCTCTCCCCCTCCTCCCCATCTATCTCCCCCTC